GATAGTGATAGGACAAAAAATTACTTTATTTTGTCTATTAATATTAATACAGGCCTGAACGTAACATTCAATAAAAGCCAAATAATTTGATACTGGCAACTACCTAATCTGCCCGTATGCTAATATATTTCTATGATTACTTATGAAAAAAAAAACATTTTTTTTGTTTTTACTTAATTTTTTTTATGTTATGGAAAAAAAAATTCATTTTGTAGTCCAGTGTTATTGTCAAAATGGACAAATCTACTGCGGGAAAAATGTCATAAACCGTTGTCTAATATCTCTTATGTAATTTTGATAACTCAATTTCTAAACAAATAAGAGGTATTTTACAAACGTATCATAGTATGTAACCATAGAAAACAAAGAATGAATAGGGTATTTGTATATTAATGAAGATGCCGCTATCCTAGAGAGCATATATGTATATCACTGTCTCACAAAGATGCTCAGTACCATAATGGTTCATGTGGTTATGAGTGAAGTCATAACCATAAAAAATATTATCCACATTATAATATGACTCATAGAAATAAGAATTAGTAGTTAAATTTGTTTATGGAAATAGAAAATTTAAATTTAAAGAAAATTTCGGTCTTAGGACGGCCTTTGGGAACGTGTCATAAGACACATCCAATAGCTTATCTAATCATTATTGTCCATGTAGAGAACATAGAAGAAGTTTATTAACATAAAAAATTTACTGCATATAAAATATCATATGGGTATTCAGTAAGTAGATAATCAAGTCAATTGTTATAAAAAAATAGAAACTCGTGTCTTTATTGAATTTTTCCATGAATATATAAAAGGAAGCTACTTAGAACGGACTTCGGGAACGTGTCATAAGGCACCATGGCCTACCCAGTAATAATTGTCTATATGGGGAAGGTTTGAGGGGTTTAATTTTTGTATTACATTAACTATGCTAAGAAGATAAAGCATTAATCTTCATAATATTCGTTTACTTTTTTTTTAATTAAGGGATTCAAAAATTTAAAAATCGTAAATTTGGTACATAGTAGTTTTTTTTTTGGGGGGGGAACTTCGATTTGTTAAAGTTCTTCTACTATATAACTATTATATTTATTGTAATTTCTTACTCGACTCGTACATCTCATCAATACGTTCCTGCCATTTATAATCCAAAGTCATTAATTTAAAATTCTTAAATTCAACTTAAAAAAATACCGAATTATTTTATGAATAAATTATTTGCATCGATAATTTTATACGTAATTCTTAACTAAACTCATCTGAACCTGTGCACTATAAATATGACCAACATCATGTGTGTAGTATGTTTAAACCAGTGATTAAAGAGTTCATCTTCTATTGTCCGAATTGACGCAACAAACTGTCAACAGATGGGCTAAGAGTCACGGCAATGACGTCAATGGCTGAGGCGAAGTGTCAGTGACACANTGGGCTAAGAGTCACGGCAATGACGTCAATGGCTGAGGCAAAGTGTCAGTGAACGAGACTGTACCTACTAATATCCATCCTAGGTAGGTGTCAAGAGCGGAGGGTAGACTTTTCATGTGTATGATCTCCGCCTTTGGACGTACAGTATGTGGAAAGACATCTCCGCCCAACAACATAATTATCGTACCGGGTGTGTCGAAGTGGGGATCGGCGAACAACAAGTCGTGATATTGCTCACGTACTTTCGGTGGTGAACGCGCAATCGGCATGAGACGTGTTATTTTTTATAAAACTTTTGAATCATTATAAGTAAAGACTGCTTCTAATGCATAGTGTGGTATAAACGAGCATTTAGAACTGCCCTTTATTTGGTTTACACGGTTTTGCTGATAATCTCGAAGAGACATTTACGACGTGGTAAGTCAAGACATGATAAACAATCTGACGTAATCGCTGATATTTGGTAGCGCCATACAAAAACGACCAACATCACGTGTGGTAGTATGTGTAAACCAGTAATCATGTTTATATACAATATATAATTGTAAAGGGCGATTTAAATGTAAAAACAAAAAATGTAATGATTATTCAAAAGTAAAAACCTTATAAATATCAATAATCAGAGTGTTCCAAGAGAAAATCAACTGTATTTTTAGTATACAGAGAGTTTCAAAATACAGAGCTATCCAAAAATATAAACCATGTAAATATGAATATAAAAAATGATACAAATACAAAATATATAAAAATTTTAATATACATTCTGAATGTAATGAATTAATCAAATAAATTCGAATATATAGGCGTTCCAGATGTATAATACATGCACTTTTGATTACACAAAGTTATTCAATTGTAAAAATCATATAAATATCAATAATCACAGTGCTTCAGAAGTAAAATTAACAAATGTAATATTTATAATACTATCCTAAATATCATTAAACAGATATTATTATGTAGCTTGTCAGCTATTTTGTTTAAATAACACCCCTTGACATTTAAGTGCATGTTCGTTCTACAGCAATGTTTTTCCAATATAGGAACATGATCGTCGATTATTATGTAATCTCGACTCGGAGCGTACAAATGATTAGTTATTACAAAAAAGTTTTTTTAAAATTGTTGATGTCATTTGCATCTGCTGTCGCTGTCGGTACTGTTTATAATCAAATATTATAACGTAATATATATATATATATATATATATATATATTATATATACCGAAAAGTCATGCTGGACATATATCGGTTAGTTCAATTTTATCGAAAACTGAATTGTGAAGAAGGGCTACGTTAGAGTGGTCCTTATTTATAGATTATGAAAATTTTTTTTTAGAAATTCCTTGGTCTCACCCCCCAAATTTGTTTATATACATGTAAAAACAAACCAAAAAAAATTTCACTTCAATCAGACAAGTTTAACCCATGCCTACTCGGGGTTGAAAATTGGACAATAGAGGTAGTTTTCTAGTATTTTGTACTTAATTCGGAAATGAGGGATCATAGAAAAAAAATTGTAGAATATAAATTATTGATNAGAAAAAAAATTGTAGAATATAAATTGTTGACAATGTTATGGAATATAAGTTTATTTCTTACACATTTTTTTTTAAACTCATTAGTTTTCGAGCAAAATTTAAAATTATATTATATTTTATCGATTTGTCCAAATTGGAATATTTACGAATACTACATTATATTTGACAAACATTTAGAGATACGAATACATATTTTATACAAAAATCGTTTATTATTTAATTATTAACTAATTCAGCACAAAACCGTGGTGTGTGCTAAGCATCCATCCCCCCCCCAAAAAAAAAAAATTAAAAATTCACAGTTGAAAAAAAATTGCTGATGTTACAAATGTATAAATTATACTAATTGTTTTTCTCAGTTTCAAAATTGTTTACATCATAATAAAGTTGATTTTTTGTTCTCGGGATTATTTTTATAATCCTTGAAAATTTGTAATAAATACTGTTTTTGATTTTCATCATTCGTTAAAATTGTGTTGAACTCTGTTATAAGTTGTACAGTGCAAAAAAAAATATTGATTAATTTGATATATCAAACAGTTATAACAACATTTATGTATACTGGGGTGACTGATTATAATATATACAAACATAAATCACAAAAAGAGTATAAAATAAATTGTAATATACTGTATTACACATGGACTGAAAAGTCCCAAAGAAAACACGGATTTTTCATTAAAAATTGACTTTATTCTTCAACATTATCTCCATCAAGAGCAACACAATCATTCCAGCGCCGCTCTAACATTTGAATACCGTCTTGCAGAATGATTAATCTTTTGCCTCATAATAGGCCTCAGTTTCACTGATAACCTCTTCATTCGAGCGAGATTTCTTGCCGGTGAGCTATTTTTTTTAATCTGCAAATAGCCAGTGCTCACTGGAAACCAAAGCTGGAGAATATGATAGATGAGGAACAATTCGATTTTTAATTCACCTATTTTTGACATTGTGTTTTTTGATTTGATTATACCTTATAATATTAATATTCATCGACTACCTTGAGAAGGGAAATACCACTAACAGTCAATATTATATAGCATTATTGGAGCGTTTAAAGGCCGAAATTACAAATAAATGACCGCTCTAGCTGACGTTACATTTAAATACTAGATACTAGATAATATTTAAATACTAGATACTAGATACTATTTAAATACTAGATCATAGGGCTTATGTTATGTCAAAGTTCAGGTGTGACGTCATAGAAATTGCCTCAGGTCAGACTTCAAGTCAAGAATAATAGATCATTGTTCTGAGAACAATAAATGTCGAATATACTAAAAATATTATTGAGTTTAGCGTTAATTAGATGACGCGCTCTAGCCACAACTCCGACATCTACTCCCAGTTTAGCTCACATGGACGGAGTTTGTAAATGGTGATTTTCGATTAACCAATTTTAAACAAAGTTATAACAGCTTAAAAAAACGTAAATTTTAGAAGGCTATAACTTTTTTTAAAAATTGTATATTAAAAACCGTCTGTATACATATGTAGAAAATGTTGTCTTGTTTTTACGACTTCAAGCCTCAAAAATCTAAGATCGCCCGGAATATGTTTTGTTACGCCGAAGAAAAGTACCTGAAAGCTCTTTTAAACGTCGTCACAATACGAATTTGATTCAATCAGAGTAAAATATTTAAAATATATACAAAAATGAGAGGTTAGCTTTTTATTACGTTACAAGTATAAACATAATAAGAGCAAAAAAATCTACACAACAGCTCAACAAATATATAAATAACTTTAATTATTGATGATTTATAATTAAAAATTTAATAGATAATTATTAAATATATTTTTTTGATATATTACGTATTTATAAAATTTTAATATACTTTTTTAGTAAAATATGTATTTGCATTCGTTATTTACTGGTCATAAAATAAAACCTAATATAATTTTTGTGTTTTTATAGTGCTAAAAATACAAATGATATTTCACGATAAAAAAGCATGATGTGTTTCAATATTTCATATATTTTTTCTGCAAACATACTATATTTATTTTGTTTATTATTAGAATTATTTCTTGTTTGCCGATACGTTTAATAATTACTTCAAGTCATTATAAAATCTATTTCAATTAAATTTTTATCAAGTCTTATGAAAAATTGTTTGAAACTATAGACAACAATGGTAAGTAAATTTTTTTTACTTATCTTAATATTTAATTAATAGATAGGATAATTAGTAGTAAAATTATAAATAATTACTTTTAAAAATGATTATTAAAAAATGATCAATTCTACTGAAGTTGTTAAAGTATATCTTTTCTAATTTATTACTAAAAATATGTTTCAAAAACATTTTAGTTCGGTGAATATAGATATTAATCTGATTTTCATAATTATTGATATTGTTTTAAAATTAGAAAATTTGTTTCAGAAATTATATATTTTATCAATATTATTTTTTTTGGTGTTCACCTCATTTTATTTGGAAGGTAAGTAACTCTAAATATTATATTAAGTGATCCGTTTATCATAGTCCACAAAATTATTCCCCACATAAATACACAAAAATTAAAACAAAATATATTTTTTCTTTTTAAAAACACAGGTACTTGAACGTTTGTTTGCTTTTATCTTATACGTTTTTATTAGAATAATGGTAGTAGACTTAAAAATGTGGTATTTTTGATTATAATTAGAATACATAGTTTTAGTAACACAAAATTATCTAAAAAAATTTAATAAACAAAAAAAATATCAAATTAACAATGTGCTAAATTACTCCTAAAAAAAATCTTACCCTTATTTTTGTTAAATTCTTCAGGCGCCCTTGTATTTGGCTAACGAGGACAACATAAATCATCACAATATATTGAAATTTGACTTATAACTTGGATAATAACAAATACCTTGATATTTTCAGACTAAATCTGTGAAAAATAGAGTATATTAATCAGTTAAATAATCTAAGTTTCATTTTTACACACCCTTAGCATTTTAACTTGATTAATATTAATCTAAAACTTGATAATTTTTGGATTTAGGTATAGGTGTTAAAATTTGGTATTGTGTATAACAATGAAAACCTTTAATATGTTTAGTATTAATTAACATAAGGATTATTTAGACAGAATTTTTATGATACGTAAATAATAAGTCTATTTGGTGATATTTTTATGAAAACATTTATTTCATTACAAAATTCAATATAATTATTTTTTTGTTAAAGTATATCAATAATAAACTAGATTGAGTGTCTCTTTTTTTAGTTTCGATGCGAAGCTGAGAAGGTATTGGTTTTACTAAGATGTGTTTTTTTTTTTATTTTTTTATTTTTTTTTTTTTGTGTCTGTTACCACTTTTTCTCAGCTCTCACCGAACGGATTTCTTTCAACGATACGTCAAAAGATCACAAATCGTATCTAGTCGAAGACATTACCCTTCAAAATTGAAAAAATTTCCCTCGTTCCC